CACTTTGGGAGGCCGAGGTGAGAGGACTGCGCAGCCCGCGGGTTCGAGACCAGCCTGGGCAACTTGGCGAGCCCTCCTCTCCACGATCAGTCAAAAAAAGAGCCGGGCATGGTGGCGCGTGCCCGTAGTCCCAGCTAAGTAGACTGAGGTGGAAGGACTGCCCGAGGCCAGCAGGTTGAGGCTGCGGTGGCCGTGAGTGTGCAAGCCTGGGCGACAGAGTGGACTGACTCAAAAGAAAAGAAAACCACAAAAAGTCACCAAGCACATGGCCACTGCTGCCATGCCCACCCCACTGCGGCCACTGAAGCAGCCAGCTTGACAGTGGAACGGCCTTTCGAAGACTCAGGGCCGGCTCGGCGAGACCTTGTGGACACTGCGTGTGCTCTAAGTCAGTGTCCAGGGGAGGACGCTGATTCTCCCGTGGTCACAATTCATTTGCCCAGGAATCAGGGTGGGAATGGGGCTAGGACCACTCGCGACCACCTTTAGAAATCCACGAGCCGGGCTCGGTGGCTCAGCCTGTAATCCCGCGCTTTTGGGAGGCTGAGGTGAGTGGATTGCCTGAGCCCGCGGGTTCGAGACCCACCTGGGCAGCGAGACGTCATCTCTACAATAAATCAAAAAATCAGCCGGGCGTGGTAGCGCATGCCTGTAATTCCGGCTACTTGGAAGGCTGGGGCGGAAGGATCGCCGGAGCCCAGCAGGTCGAGGCTGCGGTGGCCAGGAGCAGTCACTGCACTCCAGTCTGGGTGACAGAGTGAGACTCCAACTCAAAAAAAAAAAAAGAAATTCACGAGCAAAATGTCTGCCTCCCACCCCTGTGATCTTCAGGCCAAGCAGCTTGTGCCTGCGACGTTCCTTCCGGCTGCCAACCTTCAGACTTCACACTAGCTCAACTGGCCCCACGGCAGGGAGTCCACGTCTTGGAACAAATCTGTGTGCACTTGCATGTGTCTATGAAGTATCTGTAACTCTCATCCACCTCTGTCTGTCCAACTCCCTCTGTCCATCCAATTCCCACTAGCTTTTTCTCTGGCCACCACCAAAGCCACTGTCACCACGGCCATCACAGCTAAGTCACCACTGCCATCAGCACCGCCATTCGTTTTTACAGCTGTGGCTCTGCTGGTCCACGTGTCCACTGAGAGTCAATGAAGTCAAGCCTGCCACCTGCACACCTCATGCCCTGGAACCTACGGCCACGGAAGAGGGTTGCTGTGCTGTCTGGGGTTTGATCCCAACTAGCAAGGGGAAATCGGTTGTGACTCCACATGGAAATAAAAAAGAACGTGTCTGGTGGGCTGAATCCAGTGGCTCACGCCTGTAATCCCAGCACTTTGGGAGGCCGAAGCAGCAACACTGCTTGAGGCCAGGAGCTCAACACAGCGAGACCTCGTCTCCACCAAAAATTGAAGACGATGAGCCGTGTGTGGGGATGCATGCCTGTAGTCCCAGCTTCTTGGCAGGCTGAGGCAGAAGGAATGCTTGAAGCCAGGAGGTTGAGGCTGCAGTCATTGCATCACTGCACTCCAGCCTAGGTGACAGAGTTAAGACCCTGTCTCTAAAGAAGAAAAAAGAAGAAAGAATACATCTGGAATACGGGGGACGCCTACGGCATCTCAGTGCTCTTATTTCCTGTGACTAAAGTCACTGGAAAACAAATGGGGCTGCTACTGGCCCAGACCCTTTGGAATAAAAGTTTGGGTTACCCCACCCGGCAAAAGACCACGACCTGCTGAGATGCTTGCTGATGGCAAAGGGTCATGGAGGGAGGTGTTTAGAAACACCAGCTACGACCACGTGACCAGCTGCAAAAACTGGATTGGGAGTGTTAGGGGTGTTTCTTCCTTATTTAAATATTTTTGATTTATTCATTGTTTAAAATTTTTTTTTATTATTGTTTTTTGAGTTGGGGGTCTCACTCTGTCGCCCAGGCTGGAAGGCAGTGGCACCATCATGGCTCACCACAGCCTCGACTTCATGGGCTCAGACGATCCTTCTGCTGCAGCCTCCTGAGTCGCTGGGATTACAGGTGTGCACCACTGTGCCCGGCTACTTTTTGTATTTTTTGTAGACACGAGGTCTGTGTTGCCCAGGCTGGTCTTGAATTCCTGGGCTCAAGCGATCCTTCTGACTCAGCCTTCCAAAGTGCTGGGATTACAGCCGTGAACCACTGTGCCCAACTCATAATAGTGAACTTTCTGTCTCAGTATCAAAGCCACAGGATATTAAAGAAGCAGAAACAGCAAGGGAGGGCTCTGTATATCCTGGAAAAGGCCAGCGTGTGTGGGCTGAACAGGGTCAGTTGGACCGTGCCTAGTGGCTTTAGGACCTTGTCACTGTCTTTATGTGGCAAGGAAGCAGGGTTTAGGGAGATGAATGTGGGAACCACACTGACATGGGTCAGGCTGTGATGGCCAGTTCTGTGGGTCACCTTGGAAGGCTGCATTATGGTCCTCTGTTGTTCAACAGAACACAGATCCGGGTGCCGCTGTGAGGGTATTTTGCAGATTAAAGTCCCTCCTCGATGGACCTTAAATTCATCAAAGGGAAATGGCCCTGGGTGGGTCTGGCCTAATCAGGCGAGAACTTCAGGCCAAGCAGCAAGTGCCCGTGACCTTCCTTCCTGGCTGCCAGTCTTCAGACTTCACGCTAGCTCAACCGGCCCCACGGCAGGGAGTCCACGTCGTGGAACGAATCTGTGTGCATTTGCATGTGTCTATGAAGCATCCGTAACCCTCATCCACCTCTGTCTGTCTAACTCCCTGTCTGTCCAATTCCCACTGGCTGTCTCTCTGGCCACCACCAAAGCCACTGTCGCCACGGCCATCACAGTTAAGTCACCAATGTCATCATGACCACTGTCCATATTTACATCTGTGGCTTCCAGGGCCGCTGCCGCTTGGGACTGGCCACACCCTGGGGACTGGCCCCAAGCCGGCTCCATCTGTGGCCTCAGGAGCAGGGAGGTGTCCCAGCCCACCACAGGGCCTGGCCAAAAAGCATCCAGGGCCCACAATGGAGAGAGCGGAGAGACCCAGAGAACAAGCCCACGTTCCTGAGCCTGAAGTGGTCCTGGTATCAGCCATGCCCCCACAAAAGAGCTGACGCTTCCGAGGGGCCCCCTGAGTGCCCGGACAGTCCCAAGCAACATCCTGTGGATTCGGCTGCCATCACACAGACGCCAGCATCTTCCTTTTCCAGAGAGCAAAGAGACTTGCTCGAGGGCTCCCATGCGCTGAGGCGGGAGTCGGGGTGTGGACCCCGAGCCTTCAGACCAGGCCTGCAGGCTGCCTGCTCTGCAAGTCTGACCTCGCAGTCAGCTGGCCCAGGGAAAGGGCTGGCTGTCCCAAGCTCAACTGTGGGGAAACCGAGGCTCAGGGCGGTTTAAGCCCTTGCCCCAGGTCACACAGCTGGGCCGAAAAACAGCCCTTTGAGCCCCACATCCAGTCTCCTTCTGGGCACATTCCCACCTTCTCCGTAGTGAGGCTGACTTAGGCCGAGAGTGACCCACGTGACATGTCACGCCAGACAGCGGCTTCCGGGGCAGTACATGAGCCCTTTACCTGCCCAGTGTGCACGGAAGCCCGAGTGAGGTCAGAGCCTCAGACAGGGCCCCTGACACCCTGCGTGGGACACGCAGGTGGCATCCAGGTGACAGCACCCAGGCTGGGGGGCGCGTTTTGTTGCCGTGGCAAATCCAACCCATCTGACAGAGAAGCCTCCGGGCTCCGCGACCACCCGGGGCTTCCTGGGTCCCAGGGTTCCGCCAGGGTCACGTGACCCACCCTGTTCCCGGGCAGACGCACCGCTCTCCGGCACCCCCACTCACCGGAGTCCACGAATGCCGCGACGCCCCTGGCCCCGACGCCAGGGCCCTGGGCTGCCTCGGTCGCCACCTCCTCCAGCTGGTAGCTGTCGAAGCTGAAGCTCACCATCATGCCTCCGTCCGGCGTGCCCGCCATGCCGGGCTCCTTGAGGCGCTGGCTCCCGACAGAGCCCATGCTGGCCTGTGCTCCGGAGAAAGGAGGAAGGAGGTGAGGGCGACACCCCTCCCGCTGCCCGGCCGCCCAGGCCATATTCCCTGGGGCCACCCTTTCTTTTTTCTTTTCTTTTCTTCTTTGTTTTTTAAGAGTCAGGGTCTCACTCTGTCGCCCAGCCTGGAGGGTAGTGGTGTGATCGTGGCTCCCTGTCGTCTCGACCTCCGGGGCTCAGGTGGTCATCCCACCTCAGTCTCCCGAGTAGCCGGAGGTGGAATGTCAGAACTTGGGGCGCACTCCGAAATAGCAGGTGACGCTGAGGTGAGTGGAGTGCCTGAGCCCGCGGGTTCGTGACCTGCCTGGGCAGCGAGACCTCATCTCGACAATACATCAAACAATCAGCCGGGTGTGGTATGCACTCCAGTCTGGGCGATGGAGTGAGACTCCAACTCAAAAAAAAAAAAAAGAAAGAAATAGCAGGTGACATGACCGAGCCTCACGTGGCCAGCACGGGGCTGGAGGTGTCGCATGCATCACTTTCCTCCAGGAGGTGCCCAAGCCGCATTTTTCAGCCGAGGAAAGTGAAGGTTCCGCAGCACGTAACTCTCACCCACACCCCCCTCTTCTCGCCTCACAGGCTGATAGTGGCGTGGCCTGGACCCAAACTCAAGTCTGTGGGACACTCTGAGCCACCATGGCTCTCGGTCCCGGGCCAACCACCTTCGGTGGCAGGAAGTTCTTCCTGTGGTCTTGCTTCAGTGTGTCTTGCTTCACTTCAGATATGCTAGGCCTTCCCTTTGGAAGAAAAGGAAGGAGCTGACTGGTCCGTGATGGAGAGACACCCCACTGGGTAGGCAGCCCTGTGTAGGCATGGGGAGTCTAGTTCTCTCTCCTAAAATGGCGATGTTTCTTTTTCTAATAATGTATTCACTTATCTGATTGCAAAACGGACACGTGCTCGACTGGGGAGACTGAGCCTTACATGGAGACAGGCCACCTTTGCATGGGTGGGAGAAGCCAAGGACAAGGCTGGAGAAGCCCGGCCCCAGGTCCCACAGCTGGAGGTACGACACATCCCACGCCAGCTATGCCCGCTTGCACCATCTCCGGGGCCTCACTCCAGCTCTCCTGCCTCAGTTTACCCCTTCCCAGCCTCCCGGTGGGTTGTCCTGACTGGTTACCAAGCGCCTCCCCCAGCCCATGTTTCCCTTGCTTGGCGCACTACAGCATTTCCCTGGGGAACCGAGAAGGGCCCGCGACACACGGGGCCCTCGGGAGCCTTCCTGCCTCTGCGTCTTGGGGGGCTGGGGCGATTCCGGAACCTGCCAGCTGGGGGCCAGCCCTGGTGATGAGAACGGGGTTGCTGCCCGGCCCGTCTGCAGCAAAGTTGAACGGCAGACCTGAACCCCAGGCAAGCCAAGGACAGACCCCCGGGCAGGCACGAGGAGACCCCTGGTTGAGGGGTGAGGCCCCGCCTCTCCCGGCAACTTTCCCAAGACCAGTGGGGAAGGGGCTTCTGTACCAGGGGTCTGGGAAGCCCGCTGACCTCCCCCTCCAGCCTCGAGGTCCTCCGAGTGTCCCCTGCTGCCCTATTCGGAGCTGGGGGATGGGGCGGGGCTCGGAGCAGAGCCGGGCTGGGCTGGACAGCAGCGGCCTGGCAGGACCCACACACCCAGGCTCGCGGCCTCAAGGTTGCCGGGAGGCGCCGAGAGCCCCCCTTCCGCGGGGCCATCTAGCCTCCCTCATCAGACAGGCTCCTCCCGCCCCCATCGGCGTGTCAGCTCTGCCCTGGAGGGTGTCCAGACCCCAAAAGGCCCGGCTCAGGCTCCCGGGCGCAGCCCCGGACCCACAGCGCCCTGAGAACGCCCGGGCAGAAAGCTGAGGTTTCCACCTCGCCAGGCCGCGCCACCCGGGGAAGGGAAGCAGACGTGCTGGGCACCGGGCCGGGAGGCGGCTGCTGCCACCCACGCCGCCCGGCTCAGCCACCGTCCCCACGGCGGAGGGGGCAGGGAGCCTGCCGGCCCCACCTCTCCTGGGCCCAGGCCTTCAGCTCGCTGCTCCCCGACCCCTCCCCTCCACGCCAGCAGCCCAGGGCCTCGGGTGACCCCCGCCTCCCTTTCGTTAAGATTTAAGCGCAGGCTGCACCGCTCAAGTGTGTACAGGGCTCGCTCTGCCGCCCCACTCCAAGCTGCTGGGGCCCCTCAGTGCCGGCCCTGGGGGCAGCTGAGAAGGCAGGGCCTTCTCAGGCCCTCACGCCACCCCTCAGGCCTCAGTTCCCCACCTCACCGTTGTGAGGACTCAGCAGAGGAAGAAAGGGTGAGAGCAGCTCCCGAGCAGGGAGAGGCGGGGGGGTTGGGAGGGCAGCTTGGCTGCTCGCAGGAGGTGCTCGACAGCTGCACGAGCCGCCGCCGAACGAACGGGCGGCGGGCCAGAGCGACGGCCGCCTGGGCCGGCCCGCACAGCCGGCTCGCGCCCCGTGTCGAAGGGCGGGTGACAGGGCCACAGAGAGGCCGAGAACGGCGTTCATGCGCCGGCCGCTCCCGTTTCGCCAG